TCCATGGAATACTGGGCTGGTTGTGTCGAATACTGGGCCGGAGCCATCGTCATCGGTGCATACTCCACCGGTGGCGTCAAGGAATAGGGCTGCGAGAGAGCTGCAAAGTCGGTGCGGGCCACCGTTGGGGGTGCGGCATAGTCGGTCGCCAATTGCATGGGGGGAGCTGTGTAGGTTTGTGGGGCTGCGGTGTATGTTGCTGGAGCAAAGCTGGCTTGCTGTGCATAGGTGGTTTGCGCAGGCGCCGCTTGTGGTGCAGGCTGATAAGTGCTGGCAGGTTGCGCATAAATGGGCTGCGGCTGCGGTGCGGAGTAGATCTGAGGCTGTGGCTCATAGGCAGTTGGAGCTGGCATCTGAGCGGAGGCTGAATATTGAATGGGTGGGGTGAAGGACAGCTCGTTGGCCCTCACATAGTTGGATGCCCCCCCCAAACATGGGTGCCGGCTGTGCACTGGAGTAAGCTGGTTGGCTGAACCCAGCATAGGCTGCAAACTCCTCTCGCGAGAGAACCCCGTCTTGGTTGACGTCCAGTTGTTGAAACATGGTGGGCTGAGCTCCGAACAATGGGGCATCTACAGCTGGCATCTGAAGAGGAACATAACTGGGCATTTGGGGCATCTGAAAGGGAGATGGTTGTGCCGGAGGAGGCACAAAGGAAGTCTGAGGTGCAGCATAAACTGCACCTGGCGGAGGTGTTCCAGCAGCTGTCGAAGGTCCACTCGCAGGAGAGGCGCTCGCAGCTAAAAGAGGTGCTGCATAGAGCATCTTTCCTGCTGCCGGTGCTGGTGCTGCCTCTGGCTGTGTAACTGTTGCTGCTGCTGCTGCTGCTGCCGCTGGAGCCGCATACACTGGCACAGGGGTTTGAGCCATCTGAGGAGGTGGAAGTACTGGCGCAACATAGCTCAAAGATTGTTCGGGTGCTGCTGGCATGGGCACATAACTATTCACACCCGGCATCTGCGCCTGGAATTGCGGCACCTGGAATTGCGGCTGCATTTGGATCTGGGGCTGCACCTGCATCTGGGGCTGCACCTGCATTTGGGGCTGCACCTGCAACTGAGGCTGCGCGGTGTAGGTTGTTGGCTGGCCGGCCATGGCTGCAGCAAACTCTTGTCTGGAGATCACTCCATCTTTATTGGCGTCAATCTGTGCAAAGGCTGAAGGTGCAGCCATTTGAGCTGGAGCTGCAATTTGATACGATGCTGCCACCTGTGCAGCTTGCACAGGCTGTGCAGTGGTGTAGCTTGGTGCTGCCATCTCAGTTGGTGCAGAGTACGTGACTGGTACAGGTTCAGCGGCCTGAGGTGCGGCATAGGTTTCAGCCGGTTGCGCTGCGTAGGTCACAGGCACTGGTTCCGCTGGCTGTGTCTGATATTGAGCAGGGTAGGATGCTGCAGCATAGGTCACACCTGCTTGGGCTTGAGCTGTTTCGGCCTGCGGCTGGACGTACAACTGTGCTGCTTGTGCGTATGCTGGTGCTTGAGCCGCCTGAGCGGGTGCGTAGGTCACTTGAGCAGCCTGAGCCGTCGTCGCCGTCGCCGCTGTGGTCTGGGGCACTTCAGCGGCATAGGTCACGGAGGCTGGTTGAGCTGAAGCATAGCTCACGGGAATGGGTTGGGCCGTGTAAGCTGGCCTGGTCGGTGGTGTCGCTTGAACAAATATATGAGTGGGATCGATCAGTGTCAAGTAAAGGTTTGCTCGTTTAAACGCTTCAAAACCTTCGCCATATGTGAAGAACAGCCTACAAAGGTGGGAAATAAACATCTCTGAAACCACCACCCAGCAGCTGTGTGAGGTAATTGGCACCGGTGTAGCACCCTGCCCCCTCAGTCGTGTACGCCGCCTGGCCCGTGTTTTCGGTGGAAAGGGGGGCATCGGTTCGGCGATTTTTCCAGGTCTTCCTTTAGTTGAACACAGAAATTGGTAGCTTCTTGTTCCTAGTAATGCCGCAACGCCCTTGTTACTAGCAATGCACTTGTTACTAGCTTTTGCCAACGATGCATCTTCAGTATGATCATGGGAGATAGAGTACTACATCTCGGTGTAGTATTAACCGGGATGAAAACGATGATTCGGTTGCAGGCCTTTTCATCTCCAAACATGGTACATCATCCTTGCCCGACAAACGCGACCCAGTCTAACAGTTGGGACAAACACCAAGTACACTCCCTGGAAGCTAGGCTACTGGAAGACTGTTTTCCTCTACAAAGGGTTCCTGGTCAGCTTCCATGTTTGTTGGAGGGAGGGTAAATGATCGAGTGAGCAGTGAGTCTGCCAAATTCGATGCTTTTTCAACCGAACAGCCGACATGGGCTGACATGGGCTCACCAACTTCGACCGAACGGGAGAACATCAGCCTGTCCAGCCATCATAGCATTGAACTCCTCCGTCGTCGTCGCCCAAGTCACTGGAGAAAAGCAAAGACACTAAGACTTCCAAGACTGTTGAAGTCCTTTTCAAAAACAATGGTTCGAACAGGTAAAGATTGACGATTCGAAAGGATATTACGGTGTTTGGAATCCTGGGAAGAGATGGCTGTGGGTGATAGACATCCCTAAAATAGATTGTATATAAATCCCAAACACTCCATGGGACTGCCATAGGACTGCCGCCCCAGAAAGACCCCCCCAAACCACCACCCCAACTGATCGGCAGTCCTATGGCAGTCCCATGGGTCGTGTCTGGGAATGTTTCAGTACGCAAACATGACATCCGTCAACTTGATATGCCGGTCTTCGGGCCAGTGGCCGGGTCATGTGCCCACAGCGCCCGGTGATGAGACCAAACACACATCAACCAAATATGATCTATGTGCTTTTACAGCTTGAGAGCATGCATCTCAAACGATCTGTTACAACAAATTCTTCAGATTGAAAAGGAAAAAGCAACACTGAACTGTAACTCATATGAAATCATCCATAAAGTCTGGCATCTTCAAAAATACTTGAAACATCTTAAACTCACCCCAATGTGCAACAACTTTGAATCCCGTGGTTTGTTCGGGAACACCCACCCACCCACGCTTTGGGTTCCACCCCTCCCCCCCCGACCTCCCCAACCGGAGAGACCGGAGACACCGGACACCGCACGGTACCGCGCTCCCGCTCCGCTCCTCTCGGCTCAACTTGCCGTCGTGGTTCACGTCAAAGGCCGAGAACGCATCCTTTGCCCATCGACGACCCGTGGACTGCCGGACTGCCGAGAGTGACGGCCACGGCCCGGGGTGGTGGTGGTTGCCAGGTCGGCCGTCCGGCGACAGGGACCCGTCCTGGCCGTCCCAGACAGGTCGTGTATGGGTGGAGCGGAGGCGGAGCGCTCCCGGGCGAGGGCGCGAGGGGTCGGACGGTAGACCCGCTAGCCGGGATGGAGGTAGGGGAATAGTAGGGGAAACATACCATCCACTTTCCAAGAGGTGCGGATGAGACTTCGATACAAAGAACATGAGCTTAATAGATTGTAGCTCCACCTGATGCCATATAGAATCACATGTATATGGATAGATGAAGTGAAGATAGCTCAACTGAAACTAGTGTTTGTGGACGTTGAGGTGTTCTAAATCACCAAACCGAACTAAACCAAAGCGCCAAACCCGGCCAAACCCGCCCGGCGGCCATGGCCCCGACCGCAAACGACGACGACTTCTATGCGGAGTGTGCCGTATTCGCCGTATTGGGTGGAGTCTGCCGTTGCCATTGTCCACCAAAAAAAGGAATGAACTCTGGTAACAAAAGGAACACATGCGGATGTTTAGTGGGAAGAAGAAGGGAACACCATGCGGACTTGACAAGACGTCCACCCCTCCACAAAACCCTTCAGACTTGACAAGTGTTATATAGCTCGGTTCCGACGGACGTTTCATCAGTTCTGAGAAAATCCGACTTAGAAGTGGAGTTCACCAGCTGGGGGAGAAGCGCTTCTTGGATTTCATGGTCTTTGCATGTCGCCATCCGAACAGGTGTTCAGTGTCAGTGTGCCGATCATCCCGATCACAATTCATGGGACTCGAAGATTCGCAGCACCTTGGGGTGATTCTAGGATGTAAGATGGCTTTTAAATGTCTTTAAGAGCTAGTATATAATTCCATACATGGAATCTGATTCTTAGGCATGTTAGTTGTGCAAAAAAAGACGCGTGCGCCGCGCGTTGGGCTTCAGCTATGGCTCCGTCATGTCAATCAGCGGAAGCTGCAGCGATTGCTCCGTCACACTTCAACCACACTTCAGCCAAAACGCTGGTGGATTGCAATGTTCCATGTTTCTTTTGATGCTTCATGCTTCTATTGTACACCGTGCCTGCCAGAAACCACATGATTTCCCGTTAAGCGGGAATTGTGTGGTGGTTCACAGCGAGAAATCTTGGCTAGGTCTGTTGCAACTTGATGGGTTTTGCATCCGCACAAAGGCTCATATACCAATACTAAGCAGTTTCAAGTGCACACCGAACAAAGCACTGTCACTCATGATTCTGGTAGTAGATGGGGCAGCAAAGACTGACACCAGAATCACACGGCGTGCCCAAAGACGGTACAAACGGGGCAACAAATGGGCGGCCAAAGGAAAAAAGGATCTTCAACCTCTGAATCCGACACCATTCAATGCCCATGCTATCTCCGGAGAACAAGGTTTTAACTACAAGAACAACAACAGCTTCCATGTCTTCGTGCTCACCAGCTCTTCTTCGTCCTCGCTTTTCCCTCGGGTCTTCCTCTTCGCTCTCTCCGATGAAACGCGGAGACAGTGAGCTTTGGCCGAAGGACGTCGGGTTGAGCAAACGCAGAGGTTCACCGTTTAGCTTGGCCAAGTGCCTTTCTTCAAGATTCATTTACTGACCTATACTTGGATGAAAGAGCCAAAAGTTGGGAAGTCCAGCGACTGGGAAGTGTGTATACACTCATCAAAATCAAACATAAATTCATATAAAATCACTCTTCAAATTGGACTGCAGTAGCTCTTACTGTAGGGCCGCTTATAGAATTGGATTTTCAGCACCCCAAGACATGTCTCAGTCGGGGCACGGACGAAAAGGCATTGTGTGGGATTGCCCCTGAGGTATTGGCAGGGACTCTTACAGCTTTTGGGTATTGCAGGCCTCCTTCTTAGGCCTTTCCGCTCCGCCTGCTCTGCCGCTCTCTCCGCCGCTCTCTCCGCTCCGTCTCACATCGTGGCATCCTCCACGGCAGCACGGCCCAAGCGAAGTGGTTCACTGACTAGGCAGGTGTGGCCATCGACCAAGCCGTGTCCTGTCTGCAGGTAGCTTAAGACCTTCGACCTAAGGCGGAACGCCGCGCGAGGGAGTGGAACAGAGCGCTGGGACGAGGGAGTGACCGGTCGTGACCGGGCTCCAAGTGGTGCCGGTCACAAAAAGGGGAGAACCCAAGATGGTTCGGATTGGGATGTGCTGAAATGACGGAGTGGGTTGAGGGGCATTCTTGATAGTCACCTCGACAATCCTCGAAATGGATCAAATGCTTGAAGCAATGGTTCTTATTTGTTCGTATCGTGTCCGCGCACCCCCGCCCAATAAAGATGGAACAACAACCCACCAGTGTTGCGCATTTCGAACCAACTTGGTCATCTTATCTCCAGGGCACATGCAGGCATACTTCCCCACTCCATTGGTGTAGGCTGGTAGAGCTCCCATCGCTTTGGATCGGTTGTACTCCTTCAGCAGCTCAGAGCCGTGCCTCAACGCACCAGACGCGCGCACCGTTCGGGACCACCATCCGAGATCAGGCCCGAGACCCGGGTAGACCGTCGTTCCGTTCCGAAGCGAACTCTGGGAATCGAAGTGAGCGAACGGCAGGTGAAAACGATTTTCATCCCACGCATCTCAAGAAGCTTCCAACAGAGGTTGAAGAACCCGAAGGTTCGACTATCCCATAGGGACC